GGGTTTAGTTTTCAGTGAGTTGCATGGTTGTTTTTGGTTTGTGGTTCTGTGTTTGTTTTTCTAAGGCAGTGTATATAAGCAAATTAAATCACATGTAATCCTGAGATTGCCAAAGAAAGATTCAGGACAACAAAAACCTGTTCTAAAGAAGTATTTTTCTCAGCTAGTTTTATTCTTGGCAATGTCCTGAATAGATAACAGTCACACCTGCACCTTTTTTCCAGTTGGAATGGGCAGAACCAGACCATAAAGAAGTCTTGGTTTGCAAACAGCAGCCCACTGGGTCCTTGGGCAGCCTGAACCACTGGGATGATGGGAATCTCCCCAAGCACAGAGTGAGCTTGCATCTTCTGTAAACACTGCCACAGGTCACTGATCTGAGGGGTCTGGCAGAACATGCAAGCTCAGAGTGGAGAGACGACTCATTTCATGTCACCTAGAGCTTACAGACTAATGCAGGCTGTTCCCTCCAGTGCTAGTGAAGTTTATGGTATCTAAAATACAAATGTGCCTGCACACAGGCCTCTGCATCTTCAGGGCCAGGAAAAACAACACCCTTCTTCTGCATTTTTTTCCCTGATCTCTGATTTTCCCTTTCTGAAATTCACAGAACCATACAATGGTTTGGGTTGGAAGGGACTTTAAATATAATCTCATTCCACCCCTGCCATTGGTAGGGACTCCTCCCACTATCCCAGGTTGCTCCAAGCTCCTTCCAACCTGGCCTTGAACAATCACAGGCATGGGGCAGCCACAGGCAATCTGTGCAGGGCCTCAGCACCCTCATAGGCAAGAATTTCTTCCAATATTGGATTAAACCTGCTCTCTTTGATTTTGAAGCCATTTCCCCTTGTCCTGTCACTTCAGGTTTGTTCTAGACACATACTCATTTTTCAGCCACTTGTAGTGTATGGAATTAAATGCATCCACAGTAAGTACTTAGTATCTCTCCTCTTAGAGATGTAAATACAGATTTGTTGATCTGCTGAGCTCTGCCCCAAGCCAGAGTAGGTGGGACATGTTTTGAGCTGGTCCTTCACCCTCCCTGTGCCTCCTCTGGCCTAGGAGCACCCTTTGCTTATAGAGGGTGAAGTGTGTGTATGGGGATGTTTCTTATCTCTAAAGGGACACTGTAACACTCCAGGACAGAACTGGTGCTGACAAATATACTTGGGACTAGGATAAAACTGATGCTAACAAATACACTTGGGACTGCCTTGACTGCAGCATGTTAATCTTGACCAAACCTGTATTTCTTACTATTTTGTGTTTCTTACTATTGCAAAGAAAGCTTCAGATTTCAGTTTTATTTTTTCAATGAGGTGATATTTCTATATTTCTATCCAGTAACTTAGTTCCAGCTTAGATTTGAAATGTATTTCTGTATTTCAAGCCATGAAGTTTTCCTGATGGACAGTTCTAACAGTGGAGCTGGACATCAGAGCATCTCAGAAAGCCAGCTCTTGCTCTCTTAAGCCTGTTGCTGTTTATCTGCCTCCTGCAAGAGAAAAACAAGGAGTGGGGGTGGAATAGATACTGCATAAAGGAAAAAATAACAAAGAAATAAATTAATGCCAGGTGTCTGGAAGCATTTCCTTACTTAGCTTCCTTTTGGGGAAAGGTGAAACAACAAACCCCACAATCCCTTTTTATTTCCTCTGCAGCCCTCCTCATTCTGCTCTGTTTCTGTATCCCCAAATAAAGTTGGTTGGCTGTCCTCAGAGCTGTGAGGGTTATCCTGCCACCTCCTGCTGAAATCCATCCTCATGGCACTCCAAGGTAACCAAGCTGGGTTTTTTTTGGGGTTATGGATGAGTAAGTTGGACCTCAGGCACTATGCACTGTTGTAGGTTACTGTGATTCTTGTGGGGAATAACAACAATAATGATAATAATAATAAAACAACCAACAACTTCTTCTGTAATTTTTATATGAGCTACTCTAGAGGCAAATCCCTGCCTTAGGCCTCAACCCCACTGAGTTCTTGTTTATTCTAGGAAATGACTTAGTGTGATACTATGGGCTGTATTATTATTCTTTAAATTTATAGGGTTGTACCAACTCCCCCAAAGTGTACCATGAAACTCACAGGCATGCAGTGTTGATCTCAGTCTGCTGCCTGGGCATACTTCTATTAAGAAATTCTTACTGGTCATGCATGACATCAAGCTGACAGAATGATGATACCATAATTCGACTAAACCCTTTTGGAGTTTTCCAAGATAAGGAATTTGATTGTTGGCACAACCCAGCCCCAGAGTTTTAGCACTGCCCTTGTTGATGGAAGCTGTAGAAAGAGTTTTTTTTCTTCATAAATCTTAAGAAAGTGTTGGGAGAGAAGGGGGTGAAATTCCTGAGAGCACTGTGGTAGCACCCACAGAGTAAAAGCTACTTTGTATTTTGAGACTGGTGGAAAATTTCAGGTACCACAGCACATGCTTTCTCAGCTAACATACAAACTCCCAAGTCACCATTTTCAGTATGCACACATATTATAGTTCCAATTAGCAGTGTTGGTGTTGTGCAGCAACTGCATGTGAAGACAGAGAGTAGGTTGGTAGCTTGCTCTTTTCCTCTAGCCATTTTATTTTCCTTCTAGTGTAACTCTACCTGCAGAGCACAGCGCTGTAGCTGCATTTTGATAATGTGAAACCACAGCCCTCATCTTCACTGTCTCTTTTTCTGCTTTACCAGACTCCTCCTCTGTTAAAAAGAGGTGTCAAGACAGGCCATACTGCTTCTGTGTAAGAGAAAATACCTTGGCAGACACAGGGGGGTGTAAATGTTTGGTTAAAGTAGCAATGTTTCAGGTCAGTAATCAGATTGCCTAGTTCCAGCAAGAGGTGAATTTTTACCACCTCGTATAAGCTGATTTACAGTGGAAGCATGAAGAGGTAATGAATGCAGACAGCCCTGCAGGCCAGCAGCCCCAATCCTGCCAGCAGCCCATCCTCTCCCAGGCACCAGCTGCACCAGCAGCTTGCCAGCAGGGCAAGTGGGCAATGCTCTGCCAGCTCAGTGCATGGGAGGTATCAGTGTTCACACCAGCACTGGGAGATGTGAAGCCAGGTTGCATAGGAATGTGTTTTAATGTTTGTGATCTCGTGGGGATGCCAGCATTTGCTGTTCTGAAACAATTTTCAGTAATTTTACTCTTTGAGTAAAGAAGTACAAGGTCATCTCATGTAGATCTTGTAGGCTTGGGGCTAAAAAGTTAAGCTTATGGAATTGGTAGGTGTATTGCAAGCATAGGAATATTCACTATTGTCAATGCTTTTTCCTGCAAAGCATTACAGGCAGTGGATCTCAGGAAATGTTTTTAAAGCTGGTTTGTGTAATTATCAATTATCAATCTGGAAAAAAAAAATCCCAGAAGTACAAGAGCAGAGATGGGAGAATTTCATATTGAAGTGGAAAATATGTTAATTCATGTCAATAGGTGCTTTGCATTGCTCTGGCCCATTTCCCTGGACTCATTCTTGGGAATGCACTGCTCTCACACTCACTGCTGTCAGGTAAGGTCCCAATGTATTCAGTTCCAACCACCTGGGTAAGGTTTTTATTACACCACGTGCTTTTAAAACATGTATTCTAGGGAAAACTCAAGCCTGAGGCTTTGCTATGACTAAATTTGAAGAGCTAAGAGGATGAGTAAAAACAGTTCTCTCTCTAATTCCCCCTGCAGAGGAGTAAACTTCCCTTTGCAGGCAAAGCCCTTTCCCTTTTCTTTGCCTTCACAGCTACTTTGCAAGCCTGGATGCAGGCACAGGGTCATGGGCAGCCTGACTGATGGCTCCTAAGGCTGTCACATGCACATGTGTGTGAACATTTCTGCCTCCCTTTGAGGCCCAAATTTTCTTCTAGAAGTGCAGGGAACAAGGTTTGAATCTTTGAAATCAGCACCTGCAGTGGTGGGCAAATAAAAGGTACCTGTACTCCACTGGCCATATCACAACTCCTTGTTTGCTTGGCGTATGCCTTTGCTGGAACAAGGACATTAGCAGCTGGGTTAAAGGGATTAAGGTTTCATCTGCAGTCATAAAGTGAAAAACTGCAGAAAAGCCTTCTAGGCTTAGGACCCTGTGTTTGTGAACCTGTATCCATGGTTGCTTTCACAGCTTGTTCACATTTTTAGGCTGGTTTCTGAGCACTGGCTTATGGTAGGTGTGTTTCTACTCACAGGTTTGATTTAGGGGCAGAAGCTGGAATAATAAATGTGTGATTGAGCACTTGCTCGTAGGTTTATAACTGGAAAGAACTTATTCAGCTAATAAATGTCAGCTTGTGTTCTCTGTGCAACCTGGTCTAGTGGTAGGTGTCCCTGTCCATGGCAGGGGGTTGGAACTAGATGATCTTTAAGGTCCTTTCCAACTCAAACTGTTCTGTGGTTCTCTGATTATATCGAGGCACATTTTTCCAGATCAAGTCAGACCTCCTTTTGCTGCACCACTGTTTTGCAAGGTATCCTAAACAGTATCCAGCCTCTTCAAGGAGGATTTTTTTTAACCTTCTGTAAAGAAAGCATCCCCAGCTGCTGAGCTGAATCTCCCTCATTTTTAAACCTCTCAACATAATTACTCTCCCCTAAAACTGCTCACCCATTGCTATGTCTATGTGCCACGCTTTTCATGTGTACCTCCTGCTTAAGCATTTGCACCCAGGATAGTGTGTGCAAAAAACAAACAAACAAAAAAGGTCTTTCCTAAAAAATATGAACGTATCTAAGAGAGATTGGTCTGAAATCGTGTTCAAGCTCCCAGTAAGTTTTTTATTTCGGGGAGAATTCAAGCTCTCGCTTGAGAGAGAAATTCCTCTCCGGTTCTTCCCATCAGGCGAGCCCCCCCTCCCCTGCGCCGGGCTCTCCTTTGTTCGGGGCCGGGCTGCGGGGCGGAGAGGCGGGACCCGGTGCGCGCCCGGCGGGGCCGGGCCAGGGCGGGCGGAGCCGCCCCCGCGCCGCGCCGCGCCCGCTCGGCCCCTCGCTTACCGTCGGGCCGGGCGGCATGAGGCGGGGGCTGCCGGTGCTGGCCCTGGCCGGGCTGCTGCTGCTGGGGCGGCCGCCGGCGGCCCGGGGGGCGGCCTGCGAGCCGGTGCGCATCCCGCTGTGCAAGCCGCTGCCCTGGAACATGACCAAGATGCCGAACCACCTGCACCACAGCACGCAGGCCAACGCCGTGCTGGCCATGGAGCAGTTCGAGGGGCTGCTGGGCACCAACTGTAGCCCCGACCTGCTGTTCTTCCTGTGCGCCATGTACGCGCCCATCTGCACCATCGACTTCCAGCACGAGCCCATCAAGCCCTGCAAGTCCGTCTGCGAGCGCGCCCGCGCCGGCTGCGAGCCCGTCCTGGTCCGCTACAGCCACGCCTGGCCCGACAGCCTGGCCTGCGACGAGCTGCCCGTGTACGACCGCGGGGTCTGCATCTCCCCCGAGGCCATCGTCACCGCCGAGGGCGCGGGTGAGTGCGCGGGGACCGGCACCGGCACGGGGACAATGGGCGGCGGGCGGGCGGGGAGGGCAGCCCGGGAGCCCTGCCTCCCCTCCGACTGCTCTCTCGGGTTCTCTCTGCTCTGCCCTCCGCTCTTTCGCTGTCTTCTTTCTGCCTTTCGCAGCCGCCTCGCTGCTGGAAAAGTTTTGCTGTTGGGCACAGAGTGTGTGTGACAAGTGACAGCCCCGCCACCGAGTGTGGGAGCTGCAGCCCTCGTTCCACACGAACGGGAAACGTTTCCATACCGCTCTTCTACCGGGGATCCATCGGCAGCGCTTGCTGGCAGAGAATGAAGAGCCACCCAAGTGAGGGGCAGCCCCCCGGCTGCCGGCTCCCCCTCTGCCCCCTGCTCCTCTCCAGCCACTCCCTCCCAAAGCAGGTTGCTCCCATCCCACACAAGGCCACCACTCCACAGATTTTGGGAAAAATCAGTGCCCAGAGAAGCCCCAGGCAGGAGCTGGGAGGCTGGGGTCTCTTCAGCCACTTCTATGCCAGTGGTGGCACATGCACAGTTGGAGGGGAGAAAACATGCTCATCTCAGTGGTTAGCACCGAAGGTACAGGTTCCTCAGCAGGTCCCTGGGCTCTGGAACTACAGCCAGGTGAGGAGTGCAGCAAAGTGCAGCCTTCCCTTGTGTTTTGTTCCCAACATCCCTGAAGACAGCCAAACGCTGCATCCTGCACCCGAGCCCTGGTGCTCTGTGACCACTGTGGCCTCAGAGGGGCTGCTGGAGCTGCTCAGCTTTATCTCTGCATCCTGTTTCACCAGCTGAGCTCACTGTGCTGGGTGTCTGGCTGCCCTCCAGCACCGCTGTCTGAGGCAGGAGCATCTCTGCACAGTCAGGTGAGGACTGCTGACTGCTCAGACCATGTACAAAGCTGCTGTGCCTCAGGGATCCTGCTCTTGTCACAGCTGCCTTTGGGCTGGAGGAGTTGGCAGGACACCCCTCCAACGTGGTGAGCTGAGCACCACAGAGATAGTGAATACAAGGGGCTATTGAACAGGAAATTAAAGCAAGCTGGTGGGTGGTTATCACGGGTGAGCTCTGACCTTTTACCAAATGACTACAGTTCCTGTGTGTTTTCAGGAAAGCATTTGCTGCTGGTGGAACCAGGCTACCATTTTCTTTGGTGCAAAGTTTCAGTGCTGGTTGCTCTGCCAGACCTCTCCATCAGAGGACTTGGAGAGCAGTACTAGGGTGGGAGAGCAGACCAGAGGGGTCAGAGCAGAGCAGCACCCATGCACCCCAGGAGCTCGTTGTGCTGCTACCTGTCTCCTTCAGTGCCCACAGCTGCAGTGCTGGGTTTTGGGAGCTCACTGACAGGCAGTGGATCTCACCTCTCTGTCCTCCCCCAGCAGTGGCCTGGGAATGAAAGGGGAATTTTTCATGCTGTGCTCAGCACAGTATTTTACTGTGCTTCTGTCCCACTACTAAATGCTTTATGTATCCCACTGCCAGTAATGCCAAACGCTGTAATTCCTGTTTTCTTCTCCTAACAAAATATCACGCTTCAGTTTCCTGACCGTGCTCCCCAACTCAGCCTTCCCAGGTAAGCTGCTCTCTCTGTCTCCATTTATTTTCAGGCCAGACAAACCCTAATCCATCTCTGACTCTATTCTCTTACCCTCTGTGCCTCCTGAAACCTCCATACCCTCATATCTCCAGTCATTACTGCTATTTCTAACTTCCAGCTGCTTCCCTCTTGCCTTTTCCTACGTTTTTTCCAGCCCATGAATGTAACCACCTATTTTTGCCATCAGCTGCTGCTCTCTGAGCTCTGCAGTCCTGCTTGGGGTAGTTTTGGGGAGAGATGTGGTTTTGAACACCAAGCACCTTTCTCTGCAGCATTGAGGTGCTTTCAAAACCACCTTAAAAATGGCTCCAGCATGAGCAAGGTTTGGCAGGTCTGCAGCGATTTGAAAGCAATCACTTCAAATCTGGAGGGAGGAAGCTTGGCTGAAATCGCCCCCGAGTTACCTATTTCTGAGGACCTCAGCAGTACAATAACCTCTTTGAGGGATTCCAGGGCCAGATCCATGAAAACTCTCTTTCAGTGAATGAGAACCTGATGACATTCTCATTTCTGGGCTGAATATTTTGAACTGATGCATTATGCACCAGACTGAAAGAATCCTTCTTGAGGGAATAAAACTGTTCTTTTAGAAAGCAGAGGGAAGGATTCCTGTTCTAGGAAGAGGTAAGGTGAGCACTTTCAAATCCAATTCTCCAAATAAAGGATTGCAGCTCAGTAGAAGACACAAATAACCAACTGCCTGATGAGTAGTGTGCAGAATCCCTGCTCTTATTTGCTTTAATTTATCTCCTAAGCATTCTAGCCCCTTCTGCTGTCTGTAAACTACACCTAATAGAGTGGGCAGAAATATAATCCATTGTTTTGTGGCTTTCTGTTGTAGAAGAGGCTTTTTGTATTCTTCAGAACCGAAATCTTGTTTTTGCTTTTATTCTTTTGCTACCTGTAAGAGGGTTCTACTGTTTCCTTTCCTCTTGAGGTTTCTGCATGTTTCTGCATTATTTTTGCATTATTGTTCTAATGTTCACCACATTTATCTTGTCCCTTCTGTGAGGGAGCCTTAAGGATGATGTAGTCAGTGTTTGTCCTTGTCAGAGTGGGGACTGGCTTCACAAGCCCAATTTCCATCTATTATATTCCCAGTAGCTTGTGACTGTTGCCAAGTATGGAGGAACTGTGGTTGGTAAAATCTGTGATAAATCTCTGTAAGAAGTTCACTTTCAGCTGTTGAGGCACAGTCCACCACACACATCTTCTAGGACCTCTCTCCATTTGAGTCCAGGTGTGAGGAAGATCCAGACACTTGCTGTCACAGCACCAAGGGGCTGCTTTGTCTGTGATGGAGAAAGCTGACAGCAGTGCTGTGTTTTGGGCTCTGTTAGAGGAATAGCTGTGCACACCCCCTGGGCTTGTGCTGGTCTCCAAAACCTGAGTGGGAGTGCTGATTGGGAGGTCTTAAGTTCCTCAAGTTACAGAGACTGGCTTAAAACATGTGGGAAGTGTGTGTTTCTTTATTTTTCATTCTTTTTGGGAAACATTCGGGTTCCTTTACAACCAGAAAGCAGAGGGATGCTGCAGGGAGGGTGTGGGTATTCTGGAGGTGTGATGCTGAATAATTTGACTTTTTGTGGAGGATCCAACAAATCATCATCCAGGATGGATGAAGAAAGAGCATCCTGACAATATATTTAACACCCTGGATGTCAGATTAGTGCATGGTAATGTCTGAAGTCTCCTATGGCATTTATCCCACATCCCTGTCCTTTTTGGAGGTGCAAGGTGTTGCTGTGTGCAGACATCAGTACAAGCTGTGTTACATATCTGGGAGGTCCTGTTCACTTGCTCCATGTATTTCATTCTTCACATGTATTTGCTTATCCTTCCTCCAGTCTATCAGATTATCTGCCTCCCTCATTCAGGGCCCTGTCAAACTTTCTGAGGTTTCTGAAGCAGCAGGAACTGCTGAGAGAAAAAATTGTCTCAAATCTAGAATTTCAGAGGCAGGACCTTGTCTTTAGTTTTGCAGGTAATAAGTGGCCAGTGTTGGCATGGGGATGCTGACTGAAAAATGCATCTTTGACATGTGGCTGCTACTGCCTAGCAGAGTGTTTATGTCTCAAGTGAAATGTTTATTCCTGTTTTGAAGAGGGAACTAGCAACAAAACCAGAGCAGTGTGATGGGTACTGTGCATATTGAAAGTCAGATCTGTCAGGCAGGTTGTCTCACCTCATCTTCCTTAAATAAGAACATAGCTTGAAGGGTGTTGGCCTGTTAATAAGATGTTGGAGAAAAGGGAAGCCACATCACAAGGTATCAACCATGTGTAGTTAACACCCAAACTATCATAAGGTGCTTAAGGAAAGCTTGGATTTATTTTTTTTTTTAAACCACCATCTCTTAAGCATTAAAGAAAATTATAGATGATTCACACAATGGACACCTATTTTCTTAAAAAATCATATGTGAACCCATGATTTCTCCATGTTGCCCAAGTCCTCCATGTCTGTCTGGATGAGTTCATAGTAAACCTAGTATGCTTATTTGGCATTGCAGGCTTAAAAGACAAGTGAACAAACCATTTCTCATGCTTGTTTCTTATGTAATCATAACTTAATTTCCAAAACAATGGTTTCCAAGCTCCAGATCAAATTTGTTCTGACTCTTTGCCTAGCTCTACTTAGAGCAGTTGATGTGCATGACAGTGCTGGGGGAGTGTTACACACTGTGCTGAGGACAAGCAGTCATGCCCAGGTTATAGTTTATAAAGTTGGGATTTGTTTAGGTTTTTACCTGGAACTTGGGAGCAGCCTCATTTCTCAGTTAAATAACAAAATTATTACAAGCTTCAAGCCTGAAACAGGGCAGGAGAAGTAAATAAGAGAATTTAAATCTCAGTAATGAAGATACCACCAATGGTGTTAGGCTCAGTACAGTTCAGCTGCCTTTGTAGGCTGAGTCCCCTGGATTTTACAGTCTAAGCATTTAGTCAAGACCTGGGCCATTAAATGTCATCAAAACTTGGTGGGATTTGTTGAATAAAATGTTATGTGGAACAGCCATGTTGCTGGCTGCTCTACAACTTGGAGTTTGAGTTCTTTGTATTAAATGTTAACTAGAATAAATTTTCTTATCACTTGGCTTTCCATGCATGTTTCTGCAACCAAATTAGCAAAGATCCTCTCTGTATTAATAACTGAAGTGAATGACAGTGAATTCATGCATTGTGGAAGGGCTTCTTAATTAATAGGGCTCACAGATATCTAAATCTGAAGAAGGTACCCAAGCAGCAGCCACTGGCTGTGGTTTAGTTCTTTGGAGCACAGTGCCTGTAGTGGCTTCACTGATAGCTGCGCCATATTCTTTAATCATAATGACAATCAGGGTCATGTTATTTTTTGCCTTCCTCTGCCTTTTAACATGTTAATTTATTTAAACAGTGGTATAGGAAAGATGTTTGCTCAAAACTAGGTATTACCAGGTTGTTTCTCCATTCCAAACCTCTCATCTAAATCTGTGGTTGCAGGCATTGTTATTTTGTACACTTACTGTGTAAGTGGCTTTTATTTAGCTCTCCTTGTTGGTGTTTTGTTTTGGTTTTTTTAATATAGAGTCCCTCTGAAAAGAAATTAATTAGGATGGCATATTGGAAAAAACAGTTTGGATTTGTCCCCTGCTCCTAAACAAAATTTAATAGGGAACTTTTGGATTGAACCTCTGGATAGTATTCCCCTCTTTGGCAATCCAGCTAACCATCACTGACAGGTATTTATTTCACAAAGATTGCTTTGCACAGACAGAACTTGGTAGAGGGTTTGCCTGTGAAGAGAAGTGGAACAATAGGAAGACAGGTGTTTGGGGGATTTTAAATAGCTTTTTACCCCTCCCTCTGTCTGTTTTGCAGCTGAAGGTCTCAGCTTGGTGGAGAGACGCCTCTGTCCGTGAGGCTGCTGGGGACAGGGGCTGGGTGGGTGCTCACACACACCTGAGACCTGACCAGTAGCTGGTGGCAGGCCTGGCCTGGACCCTCTTCCATTCTCCTGTCTGGTGGGTAAGCAGGGACCAGACTGTAAGAGTTTAACTGGGAAAAGGGTCAGAGAAATGAGAAGGGTTTCCAGAGAGGTGTCACTGAGTGGCAGAGGTCCCCAGTCCCCTCCATAAGCCCATGCTCCTGTCCATCTGTAGAAATCAGTCATCCCTGAATAAGCATGAGTGCATTTGAAAGGATAAGCACCAAGGCAGGGTCAACATTTGCCTAGCCCAAGCCCTCCCAAGTGCAGACATGAACTGTAAACTGTTGTTTGGGTACCTGTTCACCCCTGCCCTGCTGCCTTTGTGCAGGCACTTCCACTCCTGGCTGCTCTGCACACAGTGTCTGAACTCCTCTGGCTGCACACACAGCTAATTCATTGGGAATTCCTGGTTTGGGGTGGGACAGGTGACCTGGCAGTGCAGAGTTAGCAGATGCCTCGAGGCTGTGGTGTGCTGTAGTTTGGTTAAAAATAAGTTGTGTACCTAAGAGTGTGTGGGGTCATCTGTAGGGGGATACAATATAAGAAAATAAAGGTAGTATAGAAAGTAATCTTACCCCTTAAGGAGTTGCAGCTCAGCCAATTTTTAGAGATTGGGAACAGGCCTGACTTTAACAGGCCACAGCTGTAGCCAGTAAGATCAAGAGTGTTATAAAAGAGTGGGTTGGTTGGTTGAGGGAACTGGAGTCAGTTGACTGCTGTGAGGACAAGGAGGAGTCAGTGCTTAGAGGAGATGCCTACAAGAAACATCAAGGAGGTACCAAACTCTAGCAATATGGAACCTTTGCAATATAATGACAATAGAACCTTTGTAGTACAATAAGAACAAACGGTGACCCTGATGTGATTCAGGAAAAAGGACTTAATACCAAACTATATGACCCTGCAGTGATTTGGAAAAAGGACTTAAGTATCAACCAACTTGATCCCTTGGTGATTTAGGAAAGAAGACTTAAACATTAACCAACGTAGTCCCATGGTGATCTGGGTAGAGAACTGAAAGAGGAAGGAGAGAAATTACTAAAGCAACTGTTTCTGAATGAAATATATGAATGTGTCATAACGTTAATTTATTTGAACATTAGATTCTAGAAATGCTGCAACTCCATAATTAAAAGAAAAAGGGGGAATTTTAGGGGGATACAATATAAGAAAATAGAGGTAGTATAGAAAGTAATCTTACCCCTTAAGGAGTTGCAGCTCAGCCAATTATTAGAGATTGGGAACAGGCCTGACTTTAACAGGCCACAGCTGTAGCCAAAAAAAGAGTGTTATAAAAGAGTGGGTTGGTTGGTTGAGGGAACTGGAGTCAGTTGGCTACTGTGAGGACAAGGAAGAGTCAGTGCTTAGAGGAGCTGCCTACAAGAAACATCAAGGAGGTACCAAACTCTAGCAATATGGAAGCTTTGCAATATAATGACCATAGAACTCTTGCAATATAATAACAACAGACATCTGGTAGAGGAGCTCAAACATGCACACAAGCATGGAACTATGCTGCCCATACTGAGTGCTCACTGGTTCTCCTTGTGTTAGTGTGAGCTCCAAGGACAGTTCCTCAGCCAATACCCATGGGCATTGTACTCCACATGGGCTAGGGAAGGCTGTGAACCCTTTACTGGGCTCTGGTTTGTTTTGAGGTGTAATTTCAATGGGGATTGGACTAGGTTTCCCCAAGCACCACAAAGTCATGTCTGCTTGGATCCATCCTTGGTTTAGGTAGAGGCAGTGCACTTCAGGGCTTTTTCCTTCTGTGGCTGGGAGATGGTAAGCATTTAATGTGATACTTCTCTTGTCTTCTCAGTAATGAAGATTTTTTTCTGTCCCTAGTAACAATTTTGATGGAATGGAGAATGTGCTTTGAAGCTATGAACAAACTGTCCCTGAAATACCTATTCTAGTAGGAATTTTGGCATGCTGGGCCTCCTGAAAAACCAGAGGAGTTGGCTTGGTCATATGCAGATAGCCTTTGAGAAAACCTGAGAAGGTGGCCAGGGCAGCTGAGTGGGAGGGACAGTGAATCCTGAGAGCTTTCTCTGCAGGGGCAGTGAATCCTGAGAGCTTTCTCTGCAGGGGTTTTGGGGGCCCAGAGTGGGGAAACATCTGAGGCCAGCCCTACGTACACAGAGAGGCCTGTAAGGCCACCTCTCTTTGGCTGGAGGTTCTGCAGATGTTTTATCTGTACTTGGAACACATGGGAGGATTCTCAGACCGTAGACCTCTCTCTATGCTTTTACCAGATCTGAAGGAATTGTAGACTTAAAGCTACAGCTTGGCTGAATGAACAAGAGGACAGGTAATTGACCCAGGAGGGAAGAATGAAAAAATGTGTTTGTCCTTTTGTTTACATTTGCAAGAGGGAAACCATTTCAGTTCCTCTTCCATCACATGCTCGAATACCAGAGTGCATTTGATGCAATATAAAATGTGTTCTTAATGCATTGAGAATAACTCAGGTGAATAATCAAAATCAAACATGTAAGAAACAACCAGCTTGGACAGCTTGACTTGTTACAAGGCAGTATGGTGAAGATTCAGAGGTTCTGTGGAAGTACCTCATTGCAAAGGTCAAATTGGCTCCATAAAAATGTTGGTTTTTTTCTCTATAAACAAAGATCCTGTGGTAGTTTGGAACTTTCTTTGCAAGAAAATGGATCTGATGTTTTATTAGCAACAGGATATTGAATATAAAAGAGCATCTATTGAATCTTCCTTTGCTGTTTTCTATACTCTTTGCTCTTTATGTTGGTTAGAATAATTATTCCTGCAGTCTCAAATTTTTTTAAAGTTAATTATTCTGTGAGGGAATTAGTGGTTTTTCAGCTTTATTCTTGCCCTGACTCTGATTTAGCTGCATTCTCATTTATAAATGAAGTTTCATGTTGCTTTGAGTAGTATAAGTATTCATTAAGTGGAGATTTAATGTCTTTTTTTTTTTAAGAAGGATGGCAAAATTAGAAGGTTAGCTAAGTCATATTATTTTTCTTGTAAACAGGTATTACAGAATTTGTGATTATATAAATATATAAATATATAAAATAAATATAAACACACGCACACGGCCTTTATAGTTGAATCCACACATCTAAAGCCATCATGAGTGCTGAGTATCAGGAGTGTCCTGGGCTGTCTTACAGCCAAAACCTTACAGCTCAGGCTGCAAGAGAGGAGCTTTTGTTAGATTTGTTCTACATTGCAAAGGCAGCAGGATTGCCTCCATGACTATGTAAGAATCTAAGAAAAGTTGATTGTAGGATCCCAGATTCCAGAATTGGAAGAGCAGCATAAATGAATAAGTGTGTAAAATTACAGAAGGGTTTTTTCTTTGAAAGCTCATTTGTTTTCCCATTTTATGTTCCATTCTAATAAAGTGTCCTGCCTCTCTCCCAATTCTTGCTCCTCTTGCATTTATTTTGTCCTTAGCTTATTGAAGGTTATATGCATTAACATACTTGTTTTTCATGATTAAATATATGTGTAAACCCATTAAATGGTGTGATTTAATAAATAGGTTTGAAATGATGCATTTTACTAATCTGGGACACAGTCCATTTATGAACGTGTCTGAAAGCAGTTCTTTGGGCAGAGTGCCTGTTTAAACTTCTGTTCCTTATCTGTCCTTCAGAGTAATCAGTGTGTTTTTAAACTGAGGGGAAGGTCTGAAACATTTATTTTGGCATTTGCTTCGACAGTGTGATTATGGTTGGTTGATTTGATTTCCTCAGTAACCAAAAAAATCCCCCAAAGTAATTTCTCCTTCATCATCTAATTAAATGCAAACACTACACGTGTTTTCTGTAGGTGACCAAAATTCATGGCATAAATGTCAACCCTTGTCTGAAACCTGCCAGTCTGTAGCAATGGAAATGGGATATTTAGTCTGCTTCAGCATTTAACATGATAGGCTGGATTCAGGTGAAATGTGGGTAAGACATTGTGTCAGCTTTACTGGAGTGACCTCTAGAATATTGCAAACTGTTTATTAGTGAAGTTATTAAGTTTCCACGTACTAAATATTAGAGAAAGAGAAAACATTGTAATGTATGTGTGGTAAAATAATCCAATATTAAAAATACTAACTTTTTTTACGTATTTTGCAAATCCATGGCAGATTTCCCTATGGATTCTAATAACGGCAACTGTAGAGGTGCTGGCATTGGTAAGTACATTTTTATAAAACTGTATAATAAGTAATAAAACTGTATAATAATTTTTATAGAATTGTATAATAAGTTGTAGACTTTCAAATCTTTTAAATATTTAATTAAGAGGGGTACTAAGTGATAAATACTTAAATACTTAGTGTTGACTGAGAATACTGTAGATTTTGCTTTTGCATTCCATGGTCAGGTGGGATTTGGTCAGCCTCAAAAGGTCCATCAAAGCAGGAGGGCTGTGCTGATCTTATTTGAAGTTTTATCTTGAACAGAAAGAGTAATCATTAAATTGATTTTTCCCTGGGAAAAGCCAGTGAAGATAATGGTTCATTTTGACCTTAAAGTTTTCAATTTAAATTCAGTACTCTTTGTAGATAATGGCAATGCTCCTGTTAGCCTGAGGAGGTTGAGGGTGGCACCTTCTGAGGCTGGTTTTATTCCAGCAAGTCTCCTGTAGCTTTTTATTGCTGTTTTGGTTTTGCTAGAACAGAATAAAACTGAATAAAACCCCTTGGGCATTATCACTACTTGCCAATGCAAAGAAGCAAAGCCCAGGATGGTGGCTAATAATTGTAGGAATGTGAATCTTTTGCTCAAGCAAGCCAATGACTGTACATTTCCTTGAATTTTATTATGATTCCATCCAAACTTCTCCTCTTAGGTCTTTGTCAAGAAATTGAGAACTTGGAAGCCCTAGCATTGACCTGCATGTCTTTCCTTCTGCAGAGGTGCTGATGAGCTACAGTGTGCACTGATGTTCAGTTTACCAACATAAACACCTAAAAGGTGTTGAACCTAACATTAAGTACCTGTAGAGATCATTTCAGCATTAAGCTCTGTGGCCAAATTGCAAAAATATATTAGTAATGCCCAGTTTATATAATACAGTTTAAAATTTTAGTCAGTAAGTCCCAATGTGAAAGCAGCTATATTTGTGCAAAATGTTCTTTAAATCACAGTGCATACCCTCTAGAAAGCCCAGTTAAATAACCTCATAAAAGCAAGCCCCTGAACAGGCTTTGCTTTAAATTATCTTGAGCATGGTACCATATCTGGAGGACTTGCTAAAGATATTTGTTACTAATGTTAGTATCTTCATAGCATGAAGCCACTTGCAGTTGTGTGTCATTGAGAAAATAGGAGTTTCATGCACAAAGAGCATACAAGTTTCACTCTGAGCATGAAAGCAAAGCTGTATGCTCTCACTGTCCCCTTAAATCAAAACTATGAGGCATATCTTTATTGCTGCCTGTCCATAGGCATGTAATTCCAGTGAGTGACCCTGCAGTGGAAGAGGAAAATTTCAGTCATATTGCTCCTGTTGTGATGCTTTTCAATGGCTGAAAGCAAAACCAGATCTAAAAAAATCCCATCTACAAAATAGGGTAAGGATGCACAGAAAAATTGCTGATGCAATATCTGCTTTTACTGTACATACCTGATTTCTGGTTCAATGTGCTACATCTGTCTGAACTGACAAACACAGTTGGACCACCTAAAAGGCCATGTCTCAAAATGGCTTTATTTATGTGTTCAGTAAAGTAAATTTGTAGTTTTGGCATTGTAAATAGAGACTTTTTGTTTGTTTGTTTTGCAAGTAGCAAATTGATGCATTTTTTTTTAAATCCCATTCTCAGCTTTGTGCTTTCTGCATCTTACTGCTTGTGCTGCTGTGCATGGTCACAGGGAGCAGTACTCATGGCTTATCCCTATTTGAGAAACCTTTTTTTCCCTGTCAGTATCTGCTGGCAAAACCTTCCCTCTGAGTCTGCATGGGGGTTTTTTGGGAGACCTTTTTTACCTCTGTAGGCAGTGAAGTCCATTGTTTTCTGCTTCATCACATGCTCCTCAAGTCTCTTAGAAAATTTTCTAGAGTGTTTATTTCTTAGCCTTTCTTTATCTGGGAGGTGTTTGCCAGGTTTGAGTGCCTGCACAGGTCAGGATTACAGCCAGGTTTTCCATCATACATATATTTAAGATGATACAGATGTTTCTTGGTAGCAATCCATGGGGGGAAGACCATTCTCTCCATGTCTTTTGGCATTTACAGAGTGAAGTTTTCAAAGACAGAGACTTGGAGCATTTTTTAGTCCTATATTTACTTGAAAAGAAGATTTAATGGCTAGCTGTGATCTCAGCCAAAGCCAGTGGGAGCCTCTGCTGCCTGTCTGTGCGTTTGGGACATGCCATTGTTGTGGTCTCAGAGCTCTTCTGCTAATCCTGGCAGCTTCTGAGGAGGCTGTCAGGTAGGATGGGATTTTCCCTCAGCATCAGGTGATGCAGTTCATTTTTATAGCCACCTTTTGTGGGTGTTTCCACTCCCTGGGGGAAGGTCAACGTTTGCCTTCCTTGGAAAATCACTGTACCAGGAGCTGGGAGAGAGGAATTGGTTCTGGCTCTACCTTTTTAACTGACCTTGGCAAATGACTTTTATGTTTGTTTGTGTATCTCTAAATAGTGATTAGGAATAATGCAGCATTTTGTGCAGTTCTTTTAAATGTAAATTTAAAAAGCATGAGGGTGACTTGGAGGTTCTTCAACAAGTCCATGGGCATGTCGATAATTTAGAAATAGAACTAGACTAACAAAATATATTCCACAATTAATAAAATAAGCCAATACTGCCTGAAAACTGAAGGAAATGTGAGGCTGTGTTCTTGTCTTGCAATTTAGTCTATTTTATTTTACCTGGGTCACGGTGCAAAGTTCTGTAGGGCAGGAGAACATTCCAGTGTGCTGCTTGTTGGGCTTGAGTGCTGAGGTGCCTGTGTGAGTGTGGGTCACAGCAGCACATCTTTTATTCTCTGCTCCAAGGCAGCTGTCATTTGGCCTACACTATCCATGAGCTCACAAAGGCAGAAGGGAAGCCAAAAATCACTTCCCTTCACTGCTTTTGTTATTTCAACACAAACACATAGAAAAGTTAAAGTCTGTAGGGCTCTATATATAGATTCCCGAGGATGTGTTTGAAAGCAGAGGAAATAATATACTTTTCTTTTGAAATGTTTTCCTCTTTCCTGTATTTTTTTTCTATTTTCAACTACAAAAATTCTTCCAATGGAAAATAATGATTCCATCGATTTTATTTTTTTTTTAATATGCAGGAATCTTATATAATCAAATAAAAGTTCTTTTTCAGACTCTTCATGTTGGATTTAACTAAATCACTAGCTTATATGCATTGATACTTAGAACGATGGTGCATAGAAATAAGCTGCCTTAAATCTACTTCCATTTGTGCCAAATCAAATGTCAAAATAGATGCACATGTAGTACTGGGATCTGCTGTTTGAAATTACTCCAGCAAACCACACTTAGACGCTATGGTATAAAATAAAAAGTAAATATTTGCAGTAAAACAACCAGCCCTGAAATACCAGTGGTGTTAATGAACACCACTGTGGCTCTGGAGTTCAGCATTAGCATTCCCTGGGCACTAGTGAAAATGTTTTTACCTCTCTTAGAGTTCCCAGCTGTCTGGCATCTGCCTCTTTGGAAATGCTGCTCTGACAGTGCTCATTTGTGTTGTTTTTTTTTTTGAAGGCTGTCCTTCTGGCCACAAGGGCTAAGAATTTCTCTATTTTCATTAAACTTGGTCTTCTGGGTCATAATAAAATAATGGAAAATTCACACCATTCCTCATGGTGGATTGGATGGACCTGTCAGCAACCTGATCCAGTTGAAGATGTCCCTGCTTATTTGCAAGGGGGTTGGACTAGGTGGCCTTTGAAGGTCCCTGCCAATGCCAAATATTCTATGAATGCTTGCTGGCCAGAATATCCCAGGTTACTCAAGTGAGCTGAGAATATTCAAAAAAATGTTCAGTCATGCACTGCCACAGTATCTGCTTTCTGTGTCTCTGTTATGGTCTGTATGATAAAAGGAACAGAAAGGAGGACATTCCTTAAGTCTAGCATAGAAGAGAGAGCAGCATTGCAAGGATGGAATTACAGCACCTGCAAGCTCAGGACTGAGCCTTGAATTGGCTTAAAATGATCATTTTGTCACTCCAGACTCCAAGTCTGTATGTCTTTGTTGTCCTGCTGTGGTTTGGGTTTGTTTATTTTTTAAATTTCAGTATGTCAGGTTTTTCTCCTAAAAATCATTTAAGGGCTCATGGACAGTTCCTCATCTCCCAGCAGAACAGGCCAGGAATGCCCTGTGGTTTTTAGTGTTTCACTGTAATAAGCAAGTCAGTTCAGTGAAATCTTTGTTAGGTGTTTTTGGATTTAACCCTTTTCTGACTTAGAGATGGGGTAACTGAGAGGTGTTTTAAAAACTTTTCAGTCTCATGAGAAGGGTGAGACAGTACAGGTGTTATAATTCACGTCATCATCAATCAAATTACTTTTGTGGTAGTTTCTGTATCTCTAAATAGTGATTAGGAATAATGCAGTATTTTGTACAGTTCTTTTAAATGTAAATTTAAAGAGCATGAGGGTGACTAGGATGTTCTTCAGTAAGAACATGGGCATGTCAGTAATTTAGAAATAGAACTAGACAAATAATATCCATTCTAAAATTCATAAAATAAGCCAATACTGCCTTAAAAATGAAGGAAATGTGAGACTGTGTTCTTGTCTTGCAATTTAGTCTATTTTATTTTACCTGGGACTAATCAGAAGCCAACTATTTCCTAATTACAATACACTGTGTTTCTTGGCTTAACAATATTTAACAGATCAAATTAAACCAGGTGATAGATCATAGTTGGATGACTTATTTAAAAGATCAAGTTTTACACCTTAGCTAAAAACTTTACAAAATAAATTTATATGCATTAATTATTATAGTAATAATGTTAAGAATAGTACCTTGTGTACTTCAGTGTACGCAGCAGTCAATGAGCAAAACCATCAAATTTATTTATTGGATTTATTTTCTATGAATCCAATTCCCACACTGTGTGAGCTCCAGGTTTTGGGAATATTGACACTGAATAATGTTTTTTTCTTTCTAAACAAAGCTTTTTGTTTCTGTAGAGCGCTGCAAGTGCAAGCCTGTGAAAGCTACCCAGAAGACCTACCTACGTAACAACTACAACTATGGTGAGAGCAGCTGCACTGCCAGCTCCCAGCTCTTTCTTCTAAGGCTGCAGGAAGGGGCAACTTCTCATTAAAAAAGTCTAAAAAGTTCACTGTTACTGCTGGTAACCCAGTATTGCTTATTGCAGGAGGAAGGTGTAGCCTGAACTGTTTCCAAATTAGAAGGATGGAGGGGGTTAGCTTGATATGTTAGTACAAGGGTATCTTTGTTGTTTCAGTTTTAGTGCAGGCATTTGGGGTTTGGGTACTTGTCTGGTGTGAACAGTGATGCAACAAAAATGGCATTGTGGGGTGCTGTGCCTGAGCTGCCTCTGTGATTTCCAGTACCCTCAGCTTTTGCAGAAGGGCATGTTTGTAGCAACTTTCATGCCCGCTAGCTCTCCATGAGATCTGAGAGGTTCTTTTCCTTTTGGTGTGTCAAAGGCAGCAATAAGCATCTTGCCAGCTGTGTTATGCTGTCAGTAACACTTGTAAAAGTGCACATGTCCTGCTCTTCAAGCATATCACAGCTCCAGGCTCATGTTTGCCTTCGTACTGCTTGTTTGAAGCAAATTAGGCCAGAGAAGCCACTGAATGCATATCACAGGGACTGAACACTGGGCCCTTCCTTATTGCAAAAAACAGGCCTTTTTAAGAAGTTAAGCCTTTATCAGTTACAAACTTAAAGTTAAAACTTTATTAGTTTTAAACCATAACAAACATAATGCAACCAACCACCATACACCACAGTGTGAGCACATCATGGTTATAGAACTTCTTTTTCTACCCCTAATTCAGCTGAGCCACTTTCCCATAGTCCTCTTCTACTTAGCCAAAGTGGCAGGCCTGAGCCATGATTTTACAAGGGTAACAAGGCCTTATTTTATTAAGCTTTATCAATATGAAACACTTCCTTTTTTCCCATTAATCAGGTGAAGAGCCTTAGGTTCAGCCAGCTTTAAGGCTTTATTTAAATGGTAGAGATTGTATGATGTTTATTAGGATTGCACATTTATAAAGGCAGAGTCAGACAATCTTCTTTTAAAAATTGTTTGCTGTTAAAAGCTAAAAAATTACAACTGTATTCAAACACTTTCTTGGTCAGTAGTCAGTTGTATGTTGTTTTGGTGAATTTGTTTAAAAAAAAATTAGAGTTACTCTTTTCTAGTCATAAACTGCATATGGCATCATTGGGCATGTTCCTGTCCATTTTCTCAAGCTTTTGAAATTAAATGGGTTTTAAAAGGCATTTGAAATATCTCCAAACTAAAATAATATTTTATTTTGAGATCTTAAAGGGTTTTGAAAAAGGGAATCACTCAGGGTAAGTTGTGCATACTAGGTGCACAAGTTGGTGTTTGCTGGCAGCTGTATTTAATGTGCCTGCAATACATGCTGGTTAATGGCTGTTGTGGGGAGGAGATGTGTAAGTCCATGGTTTTCTTTCTTCTCTATTACCTTTTTCATGCAGGAGACATTTGGAATTTGGGCTATCTCCCATTTATAGTGTGGAAAGGGACTCTTTGAATGGTGTGGCATTCTCTAGAGCACGACCTCTGGGTTGGCTTTGCATTTGTATGTGGTATCAGTTCACTGGTCACCCTGAGAGAATGAAAAGCTTTGCCTCTGAAAGGCAACCTTTCCTCCTGTGCAACTTGAGGCAAAAAGAGAGGCCAAGAGAGGAAACAATTAGAGAGGTCATTGAGTCAAGATCAGGAGCATTTGAAGTTCAGAAAGAGCAGAGCAGATTAGTTCTGGGTCACTGGAGAGAATAGAAAAGGTAAGGGCCTGTCATCCAGCAGCAGTAGTGATATGAGAAGTTTTAATGCACATTCCCTTTTTGTGTAAGGTTTAGAGTGATAAAGTTTGCTCATCTGTACTGCAGGTAGTCAGAGAGGGGAACAGTCCCAGCTCAGGGAAGAGGGAGAGCATACAAGAAATAGATTTAATATATTTAACATGGGAAGGGTGAGGAAGGAAGGAAGTCAGAGCCCAGCTTAAACAGGACATAAATCCAACTGGTACATAAGTCCTGCTCCTGACCATTATTAAGGGGCACACTGAGCTACCTGGACCTCCTTGGTGGAGGGTGAAGTAGTGAAGAGATGGAGGCAGAGACCTTGCAGGAGTTCAGCTAAACTTCTGATGAGGGACCATGCAAAAGACTAATGCCAGAGGTCACCAAGAACAGCTTGGGAGCGGCCTGCTTGATCTGCTGCTTCTAACCATGCTCTTTGTGGCTTTCCCCAGTCATCCGGGCTAAGGTGAAGGAGGTGAAGACTAAATGCCACGATGTCACTGCAGTAGTGGAAGTCAAGGAGATCCTGAAATCTTCCCTGGTGAACATTCCAAAGGACACAGTAAACCTCCACACCAATTCTGGCTGCCTGTGTCCACCCCTCAGTGCCAATGAGGAATACATCATTATGGGCTACGAGGATGAGGAGCGCTCCAGGTATCTCCTCCTGTGCTGTCCTTGACTGTTCTCCTGCCTTAAAGCTGAAAGTCAGAGCCAAAAGGAAGGAAAACTTGGTGTCTGTAGGTCTCCTTCATGGTATTCAGGGAGGGCAAGGCTCCCTGCAGGCAGAGAACTCTTAGTTTTGTGTGTGCTGGGTTGTATAGGTTCTTGATGGAGTTGTCTCTGTTGTGTAGGTTACTCTTGGTGGAAGGCTCCATAGCTGAGAAGTGGAAGGAACGTCTTGGTAAAAAAATAAAGGTAAGAAAATCCCTCACCAGAAGTCTAATGTTGTGGGTGCCCTAAAACATCTACCTGTCCTTTCAAAATAAGGGAAGAAAATTCGTATGCTGCCTCCAGTTAATCAATATCATGTATGAAAAGCTAACTTGGTGTTTTATTTGCTTTATTACTTAGAACTGCATGCTGAGTAAATTAAAGGGATACATTGAATTACCCTGAAGTATCCCATTGCAGCAGCAGTCAAAAGCTCTGTCTCAAAAAAGCAAATAGTAGGGGACTTATAACTTTGTAGGCAAGCTGTGCATTCCACAACACATACCTGCTTAGTTGGGGTTGTGATAGGAATTTAAAAAAACAAACAGACCAGGGGGCTTTACAAATGTTTTTCAGACTAAGTCATGGGCAGGGACACCTGGCTGCTCCAAGCCCCATGCAACCTGGCCTTGAGCACTTCCAGGGATGGGGCAGCCACAGCTTCTCTGGGAAACCTATGCTGGGCCTCACCATCCTCAGAGCCAAGAATTTCTTCCCTATATTTTATATAATCTAATCTGATTTAATCTAATTTCTGTCACTTTAAAGCCATTACGCCTTGTCCTGTCATTACATGCTCTTGTAGAAAGTCCTTCTCCATCTCCCCTGTAGCCCCTTTAGGTATTGGAAGGTCCTCTAAGGTCTCCCTGAACCCTTCTCCAGGCTGAGCAACCCCAGCTCTTTATATGAAAATATATTCTGTTTTTTTCTTACTTAAATGTTTTCTAATGCCTTCCAGGTTCTGGAAGGATTATCTTTTTATGTTTTGATGTACTGCAAAGTGTCAGTGTTTTTGACATTGTCAGGAGTGTCACTTTACCCTGAATATTCCTATTTTGACGCAATTTCTCAGCCATTCATTTGCCATAATGCTTTTGCCTATGCAAACCAGTCTTCTCTTCCACTCAGCACTTTCTTCATCAGTGTGAGGGTCACTGGCAGGAAAATACTGTTGTGTTTATAAAAGCAGGATTTTCTATGCCTATTTCTCACATCAGTGGAGATTACAGGAGTGAAAGATACAGGGATCTTATTTCAAGTTGTTGTTTGATTTGGCAGAACCCTGGGAAATCCAGTGCCACAGACAAAAGATCATTTTGCTGCCATGGGCTGACTTCTGCTCAGTTTCAGCTCTTGGGTGATAACATTATTTGTTGGAATTTTTTTGGGCAACACACTTACTTTCTCACTTCCTTCCTTATTATCTGTAACCTGCTGCCGCTGCCCTCACACCCAGCCTGGGGGTGTTGAGGACCCTGCCACATCACCACCCACTTATCATCATCATTTTCTTTCCAAGAGCATCAACAGTTGTACAAACTATATTTATTATGTTGGTTTTTTTTTTTTTTTAACTGTGATTCCTATGGCTTGCAAAAATAAAAATAATTTTTTTGGATTAGCAAAAACCCCTTAACTGTTTTTTCCTCCTGCTTCCCCCAAAAACCGCATGAGTGGCTTCATTTAAATTTTATTATTTTGAAGGTGAGTCTCCCTTGTGCCGAAGCCTTGGATCAGACCCTTCATTCCCAGAGGCTGCAGGAAAGCCAGGAAACAGTTTCCCTGTTAAAATGGGAACTTTGAAATGTTTAACATTTAAATGGGGGCTTTTCCCAGTAAGCTCTCATTTCACCCTTGAGCCCAGCACAGGGTAACATGGTGGAAACAGCAATAGCAGCTTTTGCTGCTGTTTGTGAGCACATTTTCTGTGTGAAACATGTGAACAGGTGGATCAGTAGCCTCTCTGGTAATTTCTGTAGTGTTGCTCTAGGACACAAAATAAAACAACGCCGACACTGGAATCTCCAAGGTAACAAGAAGGGCAGTTTAATTCTGACTCCAGCATTTATAGATTTCCAAAAGTGACAGTGGATTGGAGGGGTGACAGTGCCACTTCTCCAATGACACTGGACCAACCAACAGCCCATCAACTGTCTCCTCCTCCAGAAAACAATGTAAAACAATCATTATTTCCAGAAAAGCGTGTGAGAAAATTCATTACAAAAATGTAAACATCAGAAGCTTTAGAAGAACAAGGCGACCCTGTAGCCTCTCGGGTAATTTCTGTGAGCACTCGGGTAATTTCTGTGAGCACTCGGGTAATTTCTGTGAGCACTCGGGTAATTTCTGTGAGCACTCGGGTAATTTCTGTGAGCACTCGGGTAATTTCTGTGAGCACTCGGGTAATTTCTGTGAGCACTCTGGTAATTTCTGTTAGCTCTCGGGTAATTTCTGTGCCTCTCTGGTAATTCCTGTGCCTCTGTGGTAATCCCTGTGCCTCTCTGGTAATTGCTGTGCGTTTCCCCGCAGCGCTGGGATCAGAAGCTGCGGCAGGCGGGGAAGGGGCGGGCCGAGCCCGGCCCCAGCGCGGCGGCCCCGAAGCCCAGCAGTGGCCGGCAGGCTCGCAGCTGGGTGTGACACCCACCGAGGGATGCTGACATGCACGGGACTGTCTGCCGAGGCTTCCTGTTGGAGCAGCAAAGGAGAAATTGCACTATTGCACGTTATATTCTATTGTTTACTACAAAGTCATGTTCTAGCTTTTATTAGGTTTTATTCTCCCTCTTTGTTCTCCACCTTTTTCTTTTTGGATATGTGCAAGTTCTGGAAATGTATATTTTTTTTTTCTGTTGCTAAGAACTGTAGAAAACTGCCCTTATGAGATGAAGAAAGACAATGTTCAATTTACCTTTTTATCTCCTAAATCTTCTCTGGGAGAAAATTCTGATGCTAGCAGGAATGAAATCTGGCAAAGACCATTGCTTAAAGTCATGGCTTACACTGGCTTTCCCTGTTCACTCTTTCTTGGTCACTGTTTGCTGAAACTTCCTCTCTTTTGGGTAGGTTGTTATCTGGGTTAAAGTGTATCATTTTTATTCTGAAATATAATTCTGAATGACATAATTATTTTTTTTTTCTAAGAGAACTGTTTGAATTAGTACAGCTTTATTAAGTTTTCTTACAGATAAACCACTTGCATAAGGCAGACTCTAAATATTTCCCTGTGCATGTACACAGGGAACCTGGGTTTTCCAGTGCTTTGGACCTTAAAGGAAATATTATCTAGTTCTGTAACCATAATTTATAACTAAATTTATGCTTCTTCTCTTATAATGGCAGTTTTTCCCCCTTTTCTCAGCTGACTTATAGGAGTAGACAGACTCACCAGGCCTGCTTCTCAGTACAGGTCTGCAGTTTAGCCTTTTGATTTTGTGGTGTTATTCTTAAATCCGTGCCTACATAAACAAGTGTTCAATGCTCAGTAACATATGTCCAATAAAAGAATTGTAGTTGCCAACCACAGACCCTACCTGACTTCTGAACCAACATCATATTGCTAATACTACCCTTGAAAATATAAAACCCAAAAAAACCTTTAATTTTTGTGCTTTAATAGAATTCTTTGCAGATGGTGCCAACATATTGGAAATTATCTTTGTTTTTCTAGTCTCTCATGCTTAAAAGAAATCTAAAAGGAGTACATCAAAGAACAATCTTCTTTGGCATAGTCTGCAGAGGGGAACCAGCTCTACTTAAAAAGAGCAAATGACTGTTGTGTTCTAGCTGTCAGTACTGTCTTTAGTACACTAGGGCTGCCTTTCATAAGAAAACAGTGTTGGGTTGCTGGGTGGTTTGAAAATATGATGATGCTAAATAGGACAGAAGTATTTGGGAATACTGTAAAAGTATTTGGGAATACTGTAATAGTGCTGTTTCAGGATTTCAGTTAATAACCAGCAGTCTTGGGACGGGTTTTCCATTGGGCTAGATACCAAGAAAGTTGAAAAAGAACAACATCCTGCAACACTTAAGTTTTTATTAATTATTAAAGGGATAATTTAGGGGAATGATGAGTTCTGAAAGGTGGCAGAAGGATATGAATCCCCTAGGTATTAAATCCTCAGTATTTTCTCAGAACTATGCAGATCACAGAGTTGTTAAGGTTGGAAGAGACCTCCAGGATCAAGTCCAAGCTTTGATTCATCTCCACCATGTGACCTAGACCAGAGCACTAAGTGCCATGGCCATTCTTTTTTTGAGGACCTCCAGGGATGGTGACTTTAACAAGCATTTCTACAGAGTAGGTAAATAACAGAACCAATTGTTAAGTTGTGAATAGCCTGTTAAATAATGTTAAAAACCTCATTATTTACCCCAAAGCACCCACTGAAGTCCCATAGATGAGTGCTGGAATCCCAGGGTCTGCAGTCACCACTCATCACGTTGTGTTCTGCTATGAAAAGAGCTGTGAAATCATAAAACCCTGTTAAAGGTGTAGAAAATCCCCAGAGAGCTGGGAGTTTACCCCTTTGCTAGCCACCACTTTTGAAGGTGGCCTGTCCCGTGCCATTTCTCTGTGATTAACAGCCACCTTTATTTCATCCACTTGCCATTTAGTACTGACATTAGTTGCATTAAAAATTGCCAGAGCAGAGCACAGTGCTGCAATTGAAAACCTCCATAAGAGAAAAATGAGCAGCATTTGTAACTGTCACACATGTCATGATGTTGCAGTGAAAATATTTCCCTAACTGGAAGCCACCAGATTGGTGTTTTTCCAGAGGAATTAAGCATTTTTCATTAGCACATGAAAAATGAGGGTGGCATGATGGGCTCCTTGGAAGAGGCAAGAGGCATTTTTCACAATCCCTTAATTAACTGAGGAGCCTTTTACAAACTCTGGCACTGCTTTTACCCCATCACAGTGACTTCAGTGACTGAACCTCTGCAGCACCCCCCAGACTCACTTGTGCTGAGTGTACAAATGATTAATCCAGAGACCAATGAGACACAGATGGCACAATATCAATATTTTATAATATTGGTATTTCAATATCAATTATTTCAAAAGCTTTGAGCAGTATCTCTCACACGTGTTTTGTGGCCTGGAGCACACTGAAATGCTCTGTTGCTCTAAAGCTGCACTTACTGCTTTACCACATCTTTGAGGGCTTTGTGACAAGCTAGACTACTCCACTGGTGTTTTAAAGTGACTTTGTTTTAATTATGGTCTTAGTCATTTGACATAGTTGTACATTATTTTCTTGTTTCTTCCCCTGGTAATCCTCTTCTGCCCTTTTTATGCCCATTTTTGATGTGATCCTACATTAAACTGTCAAAAATGCACTATATAGCACATTCTTCTGTAGAAGCACACAGCCCTCAGCACAGTCTTTTCAGAGACATCCACTTGGGATGTGACTTTGCTTCAATTTGTAATGGTTTTTGTTCCTCCAGTTTTATTAACTTATGTAAACACAAAGTCAGGATTGGTTTGTGCACAGTCATGTTGCTCAGCTGCAAAGGAAGTGGAGTTTGGACTGCAGTGTTTGCCTGATGGAGGAGCCTCCAGGATCCATCACACAGGTACAACAAGGGAGGGAAAAGCCCCAAAGCAGAGAGATTTCAGAACTTTGCAGTTTCTGCAGGGCCGCATGCCTGGCTGAGCTGTGAGTCCAGCTCTGGCCCTGCTCCCAGTGCCCTCCCAGTGGCCACTTTACCCCAGTGTGGTGAGCTGCTCCAGGCTCTCCTCCCTCCTGATTCCCAGTTTCTCCTACATCCTGCACCCAGGCTCTCCTCCACCCTAACCCCTGGGGGTTCCTCCCTCCTGCTCCCAGCCCTCTGGCCTGTGGGGAGAGTGGGAAGACACTTCTACACAACACCTGGGCACAGCACAAGGTGGCAGAGCCCTGAGTGCAGCCCCACACCAGGCACACATCAGCTCCTGCTGCATCCAAGGCACTGCAGGACTTTCAAAGAGGATGCTGAGTTACAAGAATAAAAATTACTTAAACAGCAACATAGCTGTTCCCATTTGGAAACATCACTGTGATGCATTTTGGAGATTGTAGCTTGGTGCTTCCATTCTCATCCACACCATTGCCTGGTTCCTGTGTTTTCCAGGCATGCTTCAGCTCTGCCTGTGGTGGTCACAGTAAGTACAGCAAGGTGAGCACCATCACTCAATCAGCAAATCATGTCAAGCATATTGTCAATCCTATTTAATTCTTGGGCTTTGGATTTTTTTTAAGGACTGAGTGAATATCACTTAATGTGAGAAGCAAATTCTGCTGCACAAAAAGCCAGGAAAACCAAACTTCTGGGTTAATCATGTTTACTACTGTCCTGCTGTCCTCACTCTCAAAGCCTTTGGAAGAGAGCAAAGTTTGTTATTTTACATCTTGCCTAATTAGGCCTGTGTTTGAGATTCCCCATGTCAGGAAAATTAATCCGTGGTGTCAGAGGTTTAAGTCCTAAAAGGAGATAGAGGAGTCCTGTAAGGACAAAGGGAGAGGCTGTGGGGTATTTTCCAAGGGGTCTCTTGAATTGCTGGAGGATGCAGCTTCCTCCTTATCCCAATTTCCTGGCCACATTTCCCGCTCTCTTTCCCCATTGGCTGAGGTACTTGAGAGGTGCAGACTTCTCTAATCACCTAATGCAGACCTGCCTTTTCTTTGTATCTCTGTTCTTTTTCTCTAAGTCCAGGAATTTAGCACAGCCTTGAGTGACAGTCTGAGTCACTTAGTGGAATTCCTCAGGAATTTATGGTCCCTCCCATTGCTTCTTTTACCTATCAGTGTCTGCCTTTATCTACCAACAGGCCTATAGCTTGTTTGTAAAGACACATCCCTGTCATTCCTTCCACCTGAACATGCCATGCAATTTAGAACCAGAGACTGTGGTGTGAAAATGTGGTGCTTTTTTCATCTTCCCTAATTTGGGTGGAGCTTTGCCTTATATTCCCAAACCCTGCACTCAAACTGGGTCAGTCTATACTAACAGGCAGTGTTTTATTCAATTAATTTCTAAAAGTCCTGCTTCCCATCCAGCATCTACTTCATTCCTCTTTTAGAGTAAGATACTCCTACTTCGTCTTTCAATCCCCACAGCTAAAGCCAGAGAAAAAATAATGCTGTGTTAAAAAAAGGGCAAGGTGTGCAGTCTGGGAGCAAACCCACCTCTGTCCCTGCAGAGAGAACAGCAGCTGGCCTGAAGTGTCACCAGGGACAAGAAGCAGCTGTTTCTCATATCCTGTGCTGCTCAGAGCAATGCTGGTAAGTGATTCTGCAGTCTGTGCAGGGCTCTGCCCTCCCTGGAGCCCAGCTCTGTCACTTGTCTGAGGAAAAAAATACCTTGAATTGCTTTAGAGCCCTGGCTGCACTGAGGCTTCTATTGTGGGCTCTGATGGAGTGTCCCTTTTAAATGGATTTCCATGTGCTGGAAGGAAGGCTGATTTCACTCTGTTTCCCAAGATCTTATTGAACACTATTGAGACAGTATATAGCTTTTACTCTTGCCTTTTCACCTGGAGTGAAACTATTTGAGGGTCATGGTCAGTCTGTTATTTTTGTAAAAAAAATCATAGCTGTGAAAAAAGTGCTCTGAAGTCATTCAGGTTATTTCCTTATTTCATTTCAGAACTGGTTTGTTTGGAGGCAGCA